AATATTTTCTTATATCAAAGAAAAAGATAAATGGGCAAGACAGGCAGTACTCGTAATTGGCTCATTGGTGACTTAGTGCAAGTGTAGCCATCTATGTGTAAAAATAATTAAACAAGTAAACTTACAGTGGGCATGGCATACATGTGCACATCATGCCCGTCGGCATTGGGTTAACAAGACCTATAATATTATAATTTCTCACAATTGTTTTGACTATTGTTTGGAATATGTTTAAATGGCAAATACTAATTCCAGATTTTACTGAGATACTGTAAAATTTTAAATACAAGTTCTGCTTCCCTCATAATCTTATGCCAAATAGGAGGTTAGTGCCTTTACTTTAACATACATAATCCAAAACAAGATTTTCCCTCGGAATCAACAATACCTCCCCAACCTCAATCATTCCTCAGTAACGGCTTACAAGCAAACATCTCTCAGAAAAATTCCCCCAAATCATCAATTATGAATAGTTACCCTAATGCTTACCTAATTCTACCTCCACCTCTTGATTGCGACCCTTGGCAGGCGTGAAGGTGCTCTCCAGCTGATCCCACTTGTTGTTCAGGTAGTTCACGCGCCAGCTAATCTCATCAGCTGAGCTTGGGTATCGCTGGGCAACTCGCTCACCCTGCTCTACAAAAAGTGTTCGCCTGAAGTTGCGCCTGCGTAATTCCTCCTGCTGTGCCTGTGATCAGAGGGAGGTTTCTTCAGTAAAACACACAATTTCACATCATTTTCAGTAATACATTACTGTTTTTACAATCTATGCATAAAAATGTTATTCACTCATTAGTACAATTCACTAGATCAGTCAATCAGTCAGTCCATTATATTAGGAGTCACGCGCCAGCTAATCTCATCAGCTGAGCTTGGGTATCGCTGGGCAACTCGCTCACCCTGCTCTACAAAAAGTGTTCGCCTGAAGTTGCGCCTGCGTAATTCCTCCTGCTGTGCCTGTGATCAGAGGGAGGTTTCTTCAGTAAAACACACAATTTCACATCATTTTCAGTAATACATTACTGTTTTTACAATCTATGCATAAAAATGTTATTTACTCATTAGTACAATTCACTAGATCAGTCAATCAGTCAGTCCATTATATAATAAAATTGAATAAAATGACCTTAGCACTTTGATACTGTGGTATCTGATTTTAAAATGATGAAATTTGTCAGTAAAGACTGTCATTGGACAGTTAATAAACAGAAAAAAATCTTATGCCATAACTATTTGTTCCCTGCTAAAATCCTTCATAAAATACATCTAGTAAAAATATACACTTGGTTTAGATTGTGTTCAGAATCATTTGTGCGGGTGTGGCAAGTTTCATATTGCCATAGTATTTGTTCGTGCAGTATTTTGCATATGTGACAAAACTTCAGAGAGCAAATATTTGTTTGCTCTTTTACAATGTATATAATAGGAAATATATAAAATTTCTTGTTTTAATCTATCATCAAAACCACACTTGAATTAGTAACTTTCATTTAATAATATATAATAAAATTTAATTAAAGTAACTGTTACATAAATATGACTTACAATTATTATGTTAGTTATGAGTTATGGCATTCACTAAGTGCAGCATAAATACTGCATATCTATATATTGTATTTAGAAGCTTTACCAACATCTCAAATATGAAAATGAAATATAAAAAATAAGCAATGTATCTCTAATTACAATCTAACAAAATGAGAGAGTAAGATATCAAAATATCAAGTTAAAAAGAAGCATTAATGAAAGAGAAAATAGCATACATACTGTGTATATATACAATCACTACTTAATAACCCATTTAACAACAATTGTTAGTTTTTCTGATATATATTTACTTATCATAAAGTAAAATATTCAAAACAAAAATCCAAACATGGCTATATCAAATAAAGCATCTTTATTCACCTGGGAAGAATATAAATACAAAAAAAAAGGCATTAATATATACTAAGGAATTAATATAACAAAACATAAATCTCACCATCCTTGCAGCCTTGTCTGGGGGGTTAGAATGTGAATAAAGCTTCAACTGGACTTGAATAAGCCACTCGTAAAGCTCATTGTACTGGTCAAGAAACTCGGAGAAACTCCAGACATAAGGCGGCGACACATCACCACTGTCCCAACTTAGTTCAAACTCTCCTGAGGATGGGGCTTCTGTCGTGTCTCCAACCTGAAAGAGTGAACTGGGGTCAGTCTACGGTCACTTAACACCTGTAATGAGAGCTGGCATGCACTTCTCCTATTTCTACAACTGCATGCACACCCTGCTTTGGAATCTTAGTATTTCCACTTTTTATCTGAGGTGATACCTGCTGATGTGTCCCTCTCCTGAGCAATATTTAGGACTAAGACACACACAGATTATTAACAAAAACACAATGTAAATCCTTTTTTTCATTTACAGTTCTCTTTAGGTTAATTATAAAAAACAATAAATGTATTCTTAAGCAAAGTCAAACAAATAAGATATGAATATCTAAAATATTACCTATTACTTCAAACAGAGCAAGATTATTCCTACAAAAATGAATAGACCTTTATCTCACCTGGCAGGAGTCTGGAATAAGATTGCTGCCCATGATGTAGTCATAAGGTTCTTGTATCGATGCCCAAAATTCCCTGTTGCCCTCCTCCTTGTCTGCGGGGCCCCAGGACCTTCTGGCAGCCTCCCGGTCATTGCTCCGTCTGGAAGTGAAGTGATAAGCAAGTTAGAATGGAGATCGAGTTCTGTACACAAACTACTTATTGACAAAGTCAAATGTTCAAATTATCATTATGTGTTACTGATTAAGACAGGATGAACCTTACAAAGAAAAGTTGGATATCGCGACTCTAGCAACAAGCAAACTGCTGCACTGAATGGCAAAAATTGAAAGATTACACCATGAATAAAGCACGCCGCTGAGCTTACATAACGAACGACCACAATAACGCACAACCAGTTATTAAAGACCACTAGTGAAAAATAACTCGCTTTTGCAAGACGTTATATAATCATAAAAGTAATAAAAATACCTCTTCGTTAAAAAGAACACCACAATACACAGGCTGAAGAACAGTCACGAGCCGCGTGGAAAAGCAGTGTCTATATACCACTGACCACCCGCAATAAATATTCAAAAGCTGATAATCATGAGCCGAAATAGCACTTGGACAATGGAGTAGCATGATCGATGAAGGACGTCGCTGGCCTCAAGTTGAGTGTTATCAATGTGTAAAAAAAATAACGTCCTGGATTTTCTTTTCGCGCTTCATATAAAAATCGACTGATTAACTGAACTACACGACACTGTTCCGAGTTTACGGACTTTGCCACATGATCTAGAGAGCGGTAGAATAGGCTAGTGCTACTCAAAGCAAGGTCTATACAAGTACTTATATAAACCCTGACTCAAAGTGCTCTATGAGAATACCGGTGCCGGTACGCATACTACAAGCTGCGAGTTTCCAGGAAGTAAGAATACTGCATAGCCGTGTAATTGTAATATCATATTTTAAAAAATCAACTACTATTATGTGAATTATATTTTTTTCAGATATAAATCAATATCAATATGAGTTTCGAAATATTTTCTGGGACGTTGACACATTATGGTACAGACATATTACCGGTCACTGATCTTCCACTTTCGATAGTTTAATTAACGTTTGTATAGTCGATAATAGATGACTAACGACAAAAATATAATCTAATAAATCAGGAAGCTCGGGAAATACGAAACGATATACATCTGCAAATCAACGAGATTTAAATACGCCAATCCATCTCTACTTTATATCTAAAACAATATCTAAACAAGACGGACACGACATTACACATCGTTGGGGCGTCAAAAGGGACACGCAGTCTGCAGATTCCAAAGCCAAGAAGACAGAATTTATCAACCTGTAAACCAACTCTAACCCCACAGCGAAACTTGTGACTGACGTTTGTTCAGAGAAAGTTTTCTGCGCAAATTCTTCATGATTACATGTTGCGTCGACTTATAACCCGTACAATGTTGCAGACGTTCCAGTATCTGCAATGGTGAATGCAGCCCATCACGCTACCGTCCTACCTGCCAATCCATACTTCTACAGCTTATGTAAAGCAGTGGTTTGAAAGACCCGTGGAATTCTATAAGGTGCCGTATAACTGAAGTACAAGAATGCTTCATATTGATGATTACACACGCTGTTGGATAACACTATGGCAGCAAGGGAAGGGGGCTATATTGACTACACAAGCCTACGTATACATTTTGAAAATCCCTCCCTATTTCGTGTTCCCGTATTCAGCAAATGATATAGAAGTTATTATTATTGGCATGAGTATGCAAAAGCTTTTGGTGTCATTATAACGAAGCCAGAAAGGAGAAAGCCGTTGGACTTTTTACCCCTTCTGCCAGCACCATCTGCCACTTCCTCTCTCATTACCAGCATCCACAAATTCACAACACTTTGTTCTCCACATCTTCCGCTCTCTCTCTCTCTCTCTCTCTCTCTCTCTCTCTCTCTCTCTCTCTCTCTCTCTCTCTCTCTCTCTCTCTCTCTCTCTCTCTCTCTCTCTCTCGCCGCTCCAACTGCCTCACAACCTCCCCAAAATCTAGTTCTCAGCCTCTCGTGACAACCTACTTCTTACTCATCATTACCTTCTGCAACTCAGCCTCCTTGTGTGATGTCACCCCGGCGAGATGAACTAGGCTACTTATTGTAAGTAGACCACAGAGTAGGCCTACGTCGATTCCTCCAAGTACGTAACCTCGGATAAGTGGTGCGATTACCCGAATGTCTGAGCGATTACCTTTTCTCCATTCACCTGCCATGGGGGCTCTACCTCTGAAGGTACTCATGTCCCGAACCTTATTCATAACTGCTGCCAAATACTTAAAACTAAATCCAACAAGAAACAAAGCCTAATTCTGTCTTCATTTTTAAAATACCGCCACCGCATACAGCTCCTAACTATATATTAAAGAACAAGCATAAAGTCGAATCTGTTCACAATAAAACAACAAAAATAACCCCAAACAACACCGTGGTCCATTCACCAGCTGGCGACTCCCCTTGCGTCTCCCAATTCGTCTTAATCAACCACGGAAGTCGCGGCGAGCGCTGGTGACGTGTGCAAGATGGTCAACTCTCCCGCAACTGCCGCAGCCTTCTTGCTCGAAATGTACACACATCCTCACGCAATCTCACACCGGCGCCTGTCTTCAACGCTCTTTGTGCAACCGATAAATCACTCTTTCTTTACTCCAGGATCCATCTATTTACCGACATCATTACCATCTTTATTGATCTCCCTATACTTTTATGACGCCCTGTTGATTCGGTTCACATCCAATCGTATCGGTTCGGTTGATGGAGATGATCAACTCCACAGAGAAATCAGCAATTACAGCCTCCCGCCACCAACCCTAAAATCACAGCCGTGTAGCGGTTTAACACAATCTAAAAACAAAACAAGACAAAATCACTCGACAGGTTATAAAACGTTTTTTTTTGTCACGACTAGCTTGCTGAGACAACGACACCCCCCCCCCCCCTAGCTGGGATACCTTGGTGACAATCCACGAGCGGAGAATACGCTAGCAACTCCACGGGAAACTGCCTGAAAGTTGCCAGTCAACTTGCAACCTGTACGAGCGATCTCAACTTGGTCTCTTTTTTATTTTTGAATGAAGATTTGGGCCTCAATAGACATAAAAATGTTTCATCATATCTAAGCATGCATAAAAATATGAAAATATGACTACATGTAAGACATACATAACTGTAGCATCTAAAGGTCTATAACTGTTTCCACGAAGTATAGATACCTGGTACTTGTTTATTCGTTAAAACACACCGAAAAAAAACATTACACACACTCACAATATGATCAATAATAAAATTATATATACATATATATATATATATATATATATATATATATATACATATACATACATACATATATATATATATATATATATATATATATATATATATATATATATATATATACATATATACATATAAATGTGTGCGTGTCTGTGTATGTGCGTGTGTGTGTATGTGCGTGTGAGTGTGTGTGTGTGTGTGGGGGGGGGGGGGGCGTGATTGTGTTTTTTTGTGTATACTCACACATACATACATATAACTATACATATATGCAAGTTTACACACACACACACACACACACACACACACACACACACACACACACACACACACACACACACACACACACACACACACACACACACACACACATCACGAGCCTTCAGTTCCTGCAAAACACCCCGAGCCTTGTATGTTTCCTATTGACATAAGCAGCGTCTTTCCTACCAGGAAGCCGGGCGAAACAGCCGGCCCCGCCCCTCGGCCGTCCCTCGGAGCCCAGGCAACGCCCGCAGCACTAGGCCCCCGCGCACTCCATCTCGGACGCAGCCAAGTACCTCGGCGGGATCAGCGACCGGAAGTCCGGCTGGATTTCCATCAGAGGCTACTGAAGTGAACCAACTGCCTGCCATTAACCCCGGGCTGCATTTTCCTCCTTCTTCTTCTCTTCCTCCTCCGCTGTTTCGATGAATTCGCACTAACGGCGCCCACTTGTCTCCCACTGCGGTGATTCGTAACACCCTCATAGTCAACTTTATAAGAAACAGCGTATTTGCGGTGGGATGAATGTGGCATTGACAAAACCCTTAGAGAAAACCGCAAACTTCCGCCTTCCTGCGTCTCCTTTGCATGTCCATTCATAAATCGTTTTTCCCTTTGTTGCGGTAAGTAAACAAGATTCCCAGAATGAGTGTGAGTGTCAAGAGAGAAGGAGGATGTGAGAGTTATGAAGGAAAGTTAGTTGGACTGTCTGGCGTGAACTAATTAATCACCTATTCCTACCGTTCCCTGAGATTTAAGATGAAATTTCTCAGGGCAAATGAGCATATACATGCATTTATATATAATATAATATAATATAATATAATATAATATATATATATATATATATATATATATATATATATATATATATATATATATATATATATATATATATATATATGTATATATATATATATATATATATATATATATATATATATATATATATATATATATATATATATATATATATATACACGCGTGTGTGGATATATGTGTGTGTGTGTGTGTGTGTGTGTGTGTGTGTGTGTGTGTGTGTGTGTGTGTGTGTGTGTGTGTGTGTGTGTGTGTGTGTGTGTGTGTGTGTGTGATAAAAATAGTTAATCTTAAACATGTGAGGCCTGAACAAATCTAACATTTTTCTTTCTTTTCCTTTTATGCTTTTAATATTCGATGTTCTCTGTATCAGAATAACAGCTATGTCCTAGAGACAACAAGTCCGCAAAATCCAGATGACGTCTCCCAGCAGCCGAAACTGGGGTGGGGGTGGGGGGGGGGGATCGTCTCCCATCAAAGTCCTCACTACACCAACCTCCCAAATCCCTCCCTCCAACACTCCGCTCCAAAAACTTCACCCTCAGCTTCTTAGGTCAACACTCTCGTCTTCAACAATTTCCCCAACTCTGCCCTCCACCAACCCCTCAAACTCCTCCCTCCACCATCCCTTCCAACTACCTCCCTCCACCACAAACTCAACACTCTACCCTCCACTAACCCTCTGAAACTCTTACCTCCACCACCACCATCAAAACCCCCCTCTACCAGCTTTCCAACGT